ATCACCATTTAAGTGTATCTTCATTTTTATTTTTAAGGTATCTATCATTAAAATTTTGAATTTGTTATAAAAAATCCTATTTTAAAAACTCAAGTAATTAACCTTTGTCATAACTTTAACAGCGTTAACCTGATTATAGTAATATGAAATTTTAACTTTGGTGAAAAAAATCTAATTTTTTTCTTCTAACATGGTAGTCTCTTCCCCCGTTTACCTAAAGAACTACCGCATATTTCTCCGTTAACCGCTGCTCTATTGTTGTGTCTTGGCCTGATTCTAACCTCAAATTCGATGTGTGCACCTTCCTCCTTTAGCATTGGTGGGTCCATTTTGTTATTGTTAGTTGTCAGTGTGGGATGTGTCTTCAAGAATAGTGTTAACGGATTTACTTTTATTGCTTCATGATTATATAGTAAGGAATGAAGTGTTTAACCCTGGTAAAACGCTTCATCTCCTCCTTCTTATGTGGTTGTGTATTCCTGCATCTTCTATCACTGAGTTGTTGTGCCTTGGTCCGATTGTGACTCACGATCCTGTGTGTGCATCTTTTTCCTCTTCCACTAGTGACTATGTCTTTCTTCTTGTTAATTAGTTGTACACAGGGAGAGTTGCTTCTTTGAACATCGTGAAAATAGAGGTAAGGTTAGTCTCATGATCTGTGTAGAGTGGATTTACTTTTTCTTTTCATGATTTGCGTTGGTTATATGCCCTTGTTTCTCAATTATGATTTCATATTTTGATGTATAATGTTTATTGATTGCAATGTTCTGTCTAGATTGTTGAGTTTTGATAGTCATCAATTTATTATGAAAGTTTAAATATAATTTTGGCACTTGTTCAAAATCTTTTTTTTTTATTTAGTTATTGTATACAAAAATTATAAAAAATATATTAAATAAAAAAATATTATCAAAATAATTTATATTGTCAATATTTGTTTAATATTATTATTTTGTATTTAAATACTTTTTATTTTAATCTTTATATATAATACATTTTTGTATTATAACTCTTGTATATGACACATTTTTTATTTTTATCTTTATAATAAAATAGTTTTAATTAAAGAAATCAAAATATAAAAAAATGGGGTGGTAAAAAAGAGAGTTATATATATAAGAACTAAAAAAAATGTTACAAATAAAGACTAAAATAAAACTCACCGTTGATATAAATTAAAACTTTATAGTGATTTGTTAGCATGTCAGAAAAAATATTTATTAACTTTAAATAATATAACTATAAAATAATATAGTTATAAAAATTATTATAAAAAGTTAATACTTGAGAGTTTGATAAGCAATACTTTAGTGTTATATCTTGATATTTTGAAAGATTATTTAAGATATTATTTGACAATAAATTTTATATACTGTATTTTAAATACTTTTGGTATTTTTTCAATTAATATTAAACAAAATATTTTTGAAATTAGTATAAACCTTTATCATATTAAATGAAATTATGATAAATTATTTATTTTATGAACAAAACTTAAATAAGATTATATAAATGTTAATATCTAATTATAATCAAAATCTTACTTTAATAATTATATTTTGTAATTTATTATGAATGGTAGTAACATTTGTTTCACTTCTATTTGGTGGTAATTTTGTTTTAACCTTTATATAATTTTGTTTTCATTTTGGTCCTTTTATGAAACATTTTTTTTAAATTTTGATCCCATAATTAATTTTTTTATAATAATTAAAAAATGTGAAATGTTTAAAAGCACAACAAAAAAAATATATTATGTATAACAGTTTTATAATTAAATTTAATACCATATATTATTTCAAAAATAATTTTTATTTGAGGATTTATTTTAATTTTTTATATAAAAACAAAATAAAAAATGAATTTTATATAGAAACTAAAATAAGCTTTTAACTTGTTATGAATGTCACTTGTAACAATCATAGAATTTAAACATTCAAGTGTGTACTTTTATAAAATTATGATTTATTTTGATTGAGTTGATCCACCATTTCAACGTAGGCATATATATTTTTAGAATGGAATTTAAAGAAAAAAAAATCATAAACTTAGGAAGTACAAAGAGAAGAAAAAACCAAAAAAAAAAATAAATAATACTATAATTCAAAGGTATGTATTTGCTTCTTTTTTTTTATACATGGACAATTTTTTTTATAGTTATAATTGGTAAATATCAACAAACTTCATATTTATTAAGTAAATATAAGATATAAGTGTTTTTGTTAGGCAAGCACAATAATTTTCAGGTTTTATTAAGACATATTATTCTACAAGTGAAGCACACGATCTTCTTCAGATAGTTAAATATTCATTTTATTTTATATTATCTGAGTTGATACTCTTATTTTTGTATGAAGCTGTTCTTATTCTTTTGAGAGCCTTAAATCATGTGCCTTTTGATAAATGCCTTTTAATATGTCTTGTTTTTCTTTATTTGCGGATCTGTGCTACTGTTTATAATGTTTTAGCCTATATTACCTCAGTTGCATGTTTATCTAGGGTTTGTGCACTTTTTTTTTTTTTTTTTGAAATTTTCTCTACTTTTGTCTTGTAGTGAAGTATTGACAAATGTTAATCAATTCAGTTTGGATATGAATTTTGATTGGATAAATTTTTAAACTGTCATTTCAAATGCTAACATTGTGAAAAAATTATCAAAAATAAAGTTACGAGAAAACATAATGTTGATTACAAGAAAAAATTATAAATTAAAACTTAAAATTTTATTAAATGAAATTGGGAAAAGAAAGAATATTCATTTCAAGCTCTTTGATGATATGATATTTAAGACTTAATATCATAAACACGTTTTATGTTTTAGTCATCAATTCAATATGTTAATTAAAACATTATCAATCCGTTATATATTATAGGTAAAATATATATTTTTATTCAAATCCTAAACCTTAAACTAAAATTATAATAGGTAATTTTTTTTCTACTTAGCACTAAGATTAAAAAAATTATATGTAATAAATTTTCATTATACGGTAATACGAGAAATGTAAGCAACACACTTTTTGTTAATATACTTTTTTTATTTTTTGTTAAATTTATTAAAAATATAAAAACATGAAAAAAATGTTAAATTAGAAATAAGACACATATAACTTTTTGTAGTTTTGAATTTTAATCGTTTATGTTAATAGGTAATCTTTTTTTTTTTCACTATATTACATCGTTGATGGCAAAAGAAAGTATGTGATATATCTCTTGCAAATTGCAATCACTTCATCAGGGATTATCTTGTATGGCTATATGTATAGCCAAATCTAAGGCGATTCTCAGTGATTTCCTTTATCAACCTTCAAATAATCAATGTCCAAGGATAAAAAGCCAATGCATTATAACTTTCTATCGATTAATCGACTGCTTGGTGTATTATTTTATCTTCTCATCACATCTGTGAAAGTATTTACATATAATATTTTACAGTTACATTAAATTTGTCATATAGCATTTTTTTAAATGTTCATTTAATTTATTACTGTATAAATGTGTTGTACGAAATTTATTTTTACATTGAAACACGCTAAAGAAGCTTTTAATTGACTCTACTTTCATCTCAAATGTATTTATAATTTGCATTAATTACTATAAAATAATTTTATTAAACTAAAATTGATTTTGTGAATGCTATAAGGATAATGGTAGCGGAATTTATTTAATTGCAAAACTTGACAGCATGACACGTGGGACCTTCAGCTTGTCTCTATGGTCGCGGCAATCACAATCTTTTACGAACCCAAAAATAAAAATGAAAAAAAAAGAAAGAGTTTATTGAATTTAAAACAAAGAATAGAAAATATGAGAAAGATCTTTCATCCAAAGCTTTTTCCTTTCAAAGTTAAAACTCAATTTACAAATAATAATAAATCAAAATGTTTTTCCTTTACTTCTTCATCCTATTTATTTACCTCACAAACCTCTTCTAACGAATTTTTATCAGTGACTAACTCAATTAACTATTCTAACTAACTTTCCCTTCTCTCTTCCTTTTTCATCGGGGGATTAACATTTTCCTCTGTCACAACTACATCAATATTTGTTTCTCTTGCTAATTTGCTTCATTATTTTTCGTTTCTTCTCTAGCACAAGGGTGCGGTTCCTGATTATTGAGCCTTTATTTTTGTTTTCTGACTTCAAGAACTGCAATGAGTCACTATCACACCTTGGGCTTTAGTTCCCTCAACTTCACTATATTTTGACCCACTATCCTCCACGTTGTTTTTGTTTTGCTCAGTTGAATGGGGGTTCAATCTCATCATACTATGTCTTGGGCACCATGTGCTTCAACTCTGAAATGTTGGTTTGACAAGAATGAGGTTGCAATAATCTGAGAAACAATTAACTTCTTCACAAACATCACTTTCTTCAATGACCCATATGATTTTGGTGTTTCTTGTTTCATTGTCAACTTCTTTAACGGTTGTTCAAGATCAGAAATACTAGGCTTCCAAGAATGTTTTAATTTGTGAACGCCAAAATCTTTCTTCAAGGTCATCACAAAATTGTCCATTTTTTTCTTACTAAATATTATTCTCTTCAGATTTTGGATCGGGCAGGGCAGACCATTTATTTCATAGAAACGGAAAAGACAAGAAAATTTTATTAGATTTAATGAAAAGAACAAAATTTAAGAGACGGATCTCTCCTCCAACGTTTGTCTCTCACAAAAGATTTCTCCTTTCACGAAGTAAAGCTTACTTTACAGATGATAACAATTTTCAATGTCCTTTTTCTTTACATCTTCATCTTATCCATTTACCTCAGAAATCCCTTCTAACTGACTTATTTCATTAACTAACTTTCCCTTCACTCTCGATTCCAGAACCGGAACTGCATGCTTGGATAATTATGGTGTAAACAATCGTGGCCACTAAAAAATACTGCATTGCATGTTGAAAAATGGCAACCTGAAGAATGAAAATATCTTAAAAAAGTTAATCGATCTACAGGTATCTTTTTAGAAAAGAAGAATGCGACAAAATGCACCAATTCATGATAAGCCAGATTCCAGTTTATAATCTCATAATTCAAAGGAAAATACATGAGAAGCATAGGCAAACCACCCGAATAAAAAAAAGAAAGCAGGGACTTTTCTTAAGCAACCTTGCCTATAATTGTTCTCCACCATCATAATTGCAGTACAACTACTGAAATTGGGTCATGACCAATGATATCAATCCACCACCGACACAACTCAGAAGGGATGATGTAACACCAAATTCTACAATGGATCACAACTTCTAAACCACAAGGCCAATTAGCTACTACTTTTTTATAAACAACACAAGTTAAAATAATATGAAGTAAATACCTCACAGAGCCTTTGTTCTCGGAGGCATAATAATGAATACAATATGCTGACAGATGGCATGGAACTGGTCTCCTATACCCACTACAACAAGCAGCGAAGATTTACATAGCTCCAATGCGGCAGTGTACAACAAGGAAAAACTCTTAATCAATTGAGAGTTCTAGGGAAAGGTGGTTGTATTATATAGTACAGGGTGCTATTCTCGAGCCATGAAATGCCCAGATGAAAAATTTATGGGCAGAGAAACTATATGGGATCATGTTCAGCTTTCCATTATCTTCAAACACTCAGGTGCAGTTGAAGAAACAGTCATGTCTTGTTCTTAAATTTTCTCTGAGCTTTCAAGTCCACCACAATAACAGTGATGTTATCTTTGCTTCCCTTCTGAAGAGCACGGTTTGATAGGTATTCTGCAGCTGCTTGTGCAGCAGGATCAATTCCCCCTCCCCTTTCTGGGGGCAGTTCCAAGCCATTTTTCTTGTGCCAGAGAAGTATACGTCTTCGAGCCAGGTCACACACCTCTTCATTTGTCATGACATCCCACAAGCCATCACTAGCCAGAATGAGACATTCATCGTCTTTTGCACGAGGAAGAAATGTAACTTCAGGATCTGGAATAATCCATGGCTTCAAATATCTGTCACCTGAAAGTCACAGCAACAATAAACAAAAACAGTTTTGGACTAACTGTGCAAGTATCACACGAATCTCAGTTGCAACTTTGCAAGGACAAGCAAACTCGTCACATCATTGTGCACAAGTACACACCACAGGCAGAAACATAGGCACCAAAGCTACTGGCACAAAAAATGCAATGAAGGGAAAGAAAAAACAGAGCAAAAACCATTTACACTTTTCTTAATCAGGACTGTTCAAGATCATATTGTTTTAACATTGCAGCTACACTACAGATACAAGCAATCACGTCAATCCGATAGAGAAATACACTATTCATTTGAATAGCAACCCTGTATGTCTTCACTTCAGGGTGAGCTGAACCAAACCCAACAACTACTCATAAAATCAAATAAACAATGTAGATATAAAGTTTAAACTTTAATATTTGCAGTTTTTGTTCTATGTTGTACATGTCCAATAGTTATAGTAGACTTGCTAAAAAGGGTTCTATATTGTACATCTCCAATAGTTAGTAGACTTGCAAAATGGGTTCTACAACTTTTGCAGTTTTTGTTCTATAATGTACATCTCCAATTGCAGTTTTCTTTTTCCTGGTTTGGAAACAAAGGGGAAGGCAAAGGGTCTTACAGGTGAAAATTCAATATACTCCAGAAAAAACTTCTTAAGTTACTCAGTTCATGAATTAACAAGATTTTAAAATAAAATAAACCAAACTTGGGCCAAACAAAAGGCTCAGCTCAAGGGGAACTGTTCCTTTCGGAAAAAAGTCCTCCAAAGTGAGTTTATTATTAAAGTGGGAAGGGGATTATCCACCCTTGGATCTTTACAGGTTATTATCATTTACTTTTAATTAAATCAATGATAGGTAACCCTTGTTACCCTTCACATTTTCAATTCACAAACAAAGTCACTTAAGAGGAGCTTATCTATTCCCTCTGGCCTTCACATTCCATTTCCGGGGATAAATATTTTTACTTTGAAACTCCTAAAGAGGTAGAATTACTTTCATCCCATTGTCTCTAAGGTGAAACTTTACAGGACGAGCCATAGGATGTTGCAAGAGATTATTGGCAGAAGAACTATATACAACATTGGGGAGTCACATTCAAGACCTTCTAGCTCTATGGTATTAAACTGTTGAAATAAACATCTATTTAATCATCACATAATCCAGGGATTTTAGTAATAGATCTTTTTCCTTTTTTTCAAAAAAATGTATGAATGCTGACATATCTAATTAAACTCTTGAATCCAAATTAACAGGTCCTGTGACACCCCCCACCCAAAAAAACAAAAAACAGAAGAGAAAAATAAAAGAACCAAAAACCTTCAAGATTTAAGGAATCCTATTCTGGCATTAAAACTCAAGCATCATGATTCGTGTATGAATAAGCAAACTGCATTGTATGGAATGAAATGACTCTAAAATTAGTATTGTTCACAATCTTGACATGGACATCCTTATCAATATCAATCTTAGTTTATGTGTGGAAAAAGTGAACATCAGCTGCATTGTTCATGTTTATACTGTAAATCTTTGATAGAATAAGAAATAAAGTGAAATTTGTGATCAAGTACATACCAATAGACCTTGACATTGCAAGAACTCCAAATACGCGATGACCATTCCATTGTATCACCTTTCCTCCAGCTGCCTCAATTCTTGCATATTCATCATCACGATTTGGCTACCATATAATAATCAGAAATCAATTTCCTCTAACTAATTATTTCAAAGGAGAAGCAAAACTATAATTAGAGGTAGCTTACTTTATGATCAACAGATAGCGCCATGGGTTCTTTACCACGACACAGAACTGCTCTTGAATCACCACTGTTTGCAACTATGATATGAGACGAACATATACTAGCAACAACAGCAGTTGACCCAACGGTTTCTGGGGCAACAGGCTCACAATTAACTTTCCCCCCAACTTCAGCATCAACCTTCAAAAAGCAATTGGTGAAAGCTTTTTTCCACTGATCTCGACAATCATCCTTGGTACTTCCAGCTTTTAAAGCTTCCTTGATAAATTCTATTTCCTCAGCCAACGCCAAATGCATGCGCTCACGACAATAATTTGCTACCTGAGTGAGGAAATCCAGCTCCACTTGAAGAGTTACCCACAGTAAAATGCCAGTCATTGGCATAGGAATCACGGAAAACAAAATAAAACTTTACCTGAGAGCCACCATGGCCATCATAGACTCCAAAGAAATGTATTGTCTGCTGACTGAAACATTTGTTTATTCCATCAGGTACCCTATCACCTATTAGCATTTGAATAGGAATTTTAAAAAATTGAGGTACAGTTGCAACTGCATCTTCCATCTCTGGCCTTTTTCCACACATAGATGTAAATCCCCAAAGTGGAGTACAATCTAATTCAAAAACACTTCGCCCAACTGTTCCACTCACAGCTCTTTCCAGAGGTCGTTGATTTAGGACAGCTGTAGTAGGCTTTGGGCCAGATCTAACTCCTATTTCTTCTTCTAGGCTCAGTGCTTCGGCTAGGGGTTCATTCATAATATCTATCTCCACATTTGACTTCCCCATATCTGTGGCCCCGGCTACAATATTGGCAGCAGAGATACTCTTCTCTAAGTCTGTGGAACTTGCTGTCCCTAAATCTGAAGAAACCTCAGAACTGATGAACTCATCTCCACAAACACTACTACTCTCACTTGCTACTGAAAAATAAAAGCTATCAACAACTGGATCCCCATCCAATGATAACGAATCCTCCTCCTCAATTTCTGGGGTTAAAACTTCATCCCGAACAACCAAAGAGCTTATGTTTTGAGATATCATACCCAACAATGGAATTTCTCCTTCTCTTCCCTGTTTTGGAGGTGCAACTGCAGCAATACCAACTTCATCCTCCAAATGGTCAACGTTATGATTCTCACATGAGCATATAAAAGTCTCAGTTGAAACCTTAGTTATAGAATTGGATAACAACCCTGCATCAGCCATCAGCTTAAGTCTGGATACATCCAAGTGTTTAGCTATGGTTGGCTTATCACACACTGAATTACCTACTCTTAATGGCACTACAACCGTGGTCGACATCTCCTCCATTAAAATCCTTGTCTAGGTAGTACAAAAAATTATCCCCCCACCCTTCTGATATCATACAGCCAGTCATGTTTCAACTAATTTACCACCTGCTTTTCTGATTGAAAACGGTCCTAGAATGTGAAGCATGGATTTAAAATAATCATTTTCCATGTCCAAGAAGCAAAATGAAGGAGGCAAATTCAACCTATGCAACGCATGGACTAGCTAAAAGGTGGTGAAAATGAAATGGGGGTTGTCAGATCTGGTCAACCACCATGGATCCGAATTTCCATTTGCGGAAATTTTAGGGCTACACCCTTTTTGAACAATTATCATATTCTTCTCTGTCTAACTTCGTCAACTCTAGTGAGAGAAAAACAGCCCGAAAATTGAAAGGTACAAACTTTATCTGCAAAAACAAAAAAGATTAAAAGCCCACAAAAATTAGAGAGCGGAAAAACAAAACCAACACTCATTATCTCTAAACACAAGAAAGAAAAGTGGAGAAAAAGCGTCATGAGAAAGAAAACAAGGAAAAACAAAGTCTCAAGAATCACAGGGAAGCCCTTAAAAGATAACACCCTTTTTTCCACAGAGCACCATGAGTTACCTGGATCTGAGGCAACGCGTTTCAACCTAGTCCAATAATAATAATAATAATCACAAAAAAAGAAAGAAAGGAAAAACGATTCAGCACCTAATTTTGTCAACTGTGTAGAGTCTCGTTGCTCTCTTCTTCTTCTTTTTCTCTTCTCAATGTCTTGTCTCCTGAGTGTGACACCTGAAACCCATGATTGGAGAAGGAACAAATAATCAACAGAAAACAAAAAATACAAAAAATAATAAAAATAACAGCTTTGGTGTGTTCATCCACATATGCGTACCAGGGTGTGGGTGGGTGTATAGACTTGGAAGCGCGAGAAAAGGAGTGGAGAAGAAAATGACCAAAAAATATAAAAAAGAAACTTTTAATGAAAGAAAAATGGTTTGAAAAGAGTAAAGAGTGTTGTGGGAGAGAAGAGTAAAAGAATGGAGTTGGACAGATGTCAAATCTTGAAGAGCATATTAAAGCATCTCCACCCATCCATCCATTCTCCTCTTTCACTTTTCACCATCCAATCTAATCTTCACCAGTTGTTTCTTTTTTATTTTTTTTAATAATCCATAATTTATTAGCTTTAAGAGGAATCACGGTTTTAATGTAACAGTGCATTTTTTCGGGTAAACAGTGCATTATGTTTAGTTACCCAATATTGTTTTTAAATATTATAAATGTTTTAGTTTGATATTTATTTTGATTTAAAACTTATAAATTTCCATCAAATAATTTTTTTAATTACATTTATTATTATTTTTTTTATTATTGTTATTATCACTATTGTTATAATTTTTTATGTTTAATTGATGTAGTTAAGAATAATTAACAAAAAACGCTTACTTAATTGACGTTTAAAAATTAGACACTTAAAATAAAATTGTAAAACTGAAAAAAAAAATCAACCCAAAGGACCGAATTTTTTTTTTTTTTTGTTATTTTCTTATAATAAACGCTAACAGTATCTAATACTGATTAAATTTATTAATTATATTATTAATGCATTTCATTTTAAATTTTAATTCAATTTTATATAATTTTAATAAAAAATTATTTCTTGATTATTCCACTTCTTAAACTAATTAGTAATACATACTTTTATTTATTTAAAAATTAATTGTTAAATTTAATTTTAAATTTGATTAGTTTTACAATCAAAATATTGATATATTTGTATTGAATTAAATGTATATTTTTATAATTTAATCCTTAATACAGTTATAATTAAAAGTATATTAAAAAATACATTACTAAATTAGTGTGGAAAAGTCACGGGTGATGATCCATCATTGGTCCTGTTTGTGACGTATTGCCATCCTCAGCTCAACGAGGTCAGCGTTTCATATAAAAGAAAATGGCTATGTAATTATAAAATATGATCATAGATAGAGCTGAAATTATTTTAATTATTTTCACCATTTTATATCTGTTTTACAATTTCAACCTATTGGAAATGTTCACTGCAGAGGGATGAGACATTTCGTTATATATCATTTGTTTATTTGGTTATTGAAACCCACCAATGAAGTGAGAGAACAACCCACCATTACTTTTTTTCATCCACAAATGAATATATATACACTTTTGTTATGTATACGTATTATCAAATATTCATGTACTGTTGTTGTCATACTATTTTTTATTGTGCTGTAATATAATAAAATATAAAAATAATATGTTATGTATAATGAGTATTGACATCTATTATTGCCAAGTATCTTTGTAAATTTGAGTATGTAATTAAAAGTTTTTATAAACAAAATTAAATTTATAAACTTGCATACAATTTAAAAACATATTAATACTTGGTCCTTATTTCACTAAAATGTAACATATCATTTAAAATATGTAAATTATATACAAGTAATCTTCATTCTAATATTACAAGAATTAATAAATAATTTGATAATTTTTTTGTAAAAGACAATTAGAAGTGTCAATTTATTCTAAATCATATATAACATTTATATTATTATTACAAAATTTTAACCAAAAAAATAAAACATCTCAAATAAAAAAAATGAAAGTATAAAATATTAAATTAAAAATGTTGTCATATAAATTGTTATATAACGCATATGAAATTAAGAACACTTTATTTGTTTTTTACAGTTATTTAATTTTAACAAAATTTAACACAGACAATCATAATTTTAACAGTCAACACTTATAACCTCAAGGTCTAAAGCACAAATTTATCATTTACCATTATTAAATTTTATCATAAATAATCAAACTTAAAATACACAATTCACATATTTTTTTTAAAAATGTCATGTGACCTTCTAAAATGATTATATAATTTATAAAAAAAATAAATCATATGTCACTCTCATTATATATATAAAAAAAAAAACTCTTCCACTAAATTAATTCCCATAAATATACATATATAAACAAGTAATCACACGTTGAACAGACTACAAAATGGATGGGTATTCACTTCAAGCTCCATCTTTAAGGAAGTTACATGAAGATTGGTTGATTGTAAAAAAAAAAAAAAAAAAAAAGAAGAGGTTGCCTGTATTCATTGAAGCATTAACCAGTGAACAGGACAATCAGGTTGACGTCACTAATTGCACTTTTCCACATAAAATAGGTACAAAGTAAAGAGCAAGCAACTGAGCAACTAAAGACAACAGCATAGTCCATCCCCAAGCATAATCTTTCTTTAGTAGTTAAATTTTTGCTACCTTCCAATAAATGTACACATCACATGGAATAATTTTATCAGGATGCTTTCTTTTAGTTCCTCAGTAATTTGTCCATAACTAATACTTAACCAGCAACTGCCACTAGAGAAGGCAAGTCTTCCACAGCCAACCTGGGCAGCCAGGAGAGGAGCATTCAGTCGCATAATTCTCAGTTCCTAGTTTGAAAATTCAAATACACACATGGTGTTGCCCTACAAGCTTTGACAATGCTGTTCAACTACTTGCTGTACACATTGTTCTTGCAAATGGCATAGGAATTGAAGTACCATAATAGATGTTCTTGGCCAAATATTTAAAGCCAAAGCAAATACACAAAAACTCAACACGATGATGGAATTCAATTTGCACAAAGTTAAGGTAACATGGGATCTCCAGATGATGCAAGGACTTGTAAACTTGTTTCCTCAGCTGCTCGTTTAGATGCATAATCTTGCATGGAATCACCTGCAAATTGCTATATCATTAATATATTCAACCTCTATAACATTTTTGTTTGATCAATTTGTTTCATGCCAGTCCCAAATTAGTGCTTCTAAACTTAAAAAAGTTCATCAGTGCTGGTCCTTGGCTCCTTCCTGCAATGGCATTGATCCCTATGCCATTATATTATTCAAGAACAATAAACTAGTTTGACACAGGATACTCGAGTCAACAAGACTGGTTTGAAATGATTAAAAAAATTCAGTTTTATGCAAATGTTCCTTGAAAGAAGACGACAAGGATGTTGAAAGAAAATTACCTAGGAATTATTCTTGCAACCACAGTATGTAACCACTAGATTCTCAACTATATAATATTATAGACCAAATAAGAAGTGGTGTTACATCACATACCAAAAGACTGACGAAGTCCTTCCTTTACAGCATCAAAGTTCTTGTAAGTGTAACCAACAAAGTTTAGATCTTTGGTAGTTAGAAGCATCTGCAGGAATGGAAGTTGGAACATAAAAATACACCAATTGTATAATTATGCAAGATAAAAATTTACTAAACTAATGAATATTCTACATAAAAGAAAAAGGATATAAAGAGGGAAAAAAACCGTATCCTAGCCCAAAATAATTAAACAAGTAAAGACTTCTGATTCTCATAGTTATGTCCATAACACAAACAGCAAAACACTGCATATACCTGGGATCAAATCCCACCTTCACCAGAGAGGGAGGGTCACCTCCCATTGTGTTACGACATCAATGAACCAAAAATGAAAAAGAAATAACAAATTGAGAACTATTGATAAATTTAAGGCCAATTGTAAGAAAGAAGGATGATAAAAAATAATGAGAAGTATGATCAAGCACCATGCAGTTGTCTTCATCAACAGAAAGAAAGAAGGATAATACTCAAAATAAAGTGCTGTTTATTTTCCCCAGCAGCTGGAAAGGTAAAAATTACTTAATTCCTAGACTGAGTGCAAATAAAGCCTTAATACAAGCAACATTATTTGTATAAATTGTTCATTATCACCGTGGACATCACATAAGCAACAAAAGTTGGTTGATGAAATTTATACTACAATAAACAAATTAATGTTTAAGCCATTACCACACACACAAATTGAAGTAAATATATCTCAACAAGCATAAAGAGTAGCTTGTTTTACAACTCTATGAAAACAGTACTTGTCATTTTATAGTTTTGATTTATATATAACAATAAAAAAATAATTATTAAAACTTTATTGCTCATCAGCAACGTTTTGCAGAAGTATCAAGAATCATGATATCACCAAATTGGCCACAATGAACTATTAAGGTTTAAATATGTTTTTGGTCTTTATATTTTAACAATTTTTTTGTTTTATTCCCTTTGAACAAATTTTTTTTTGTTTTAATCCTTACTTTTTTATAAAATTTTGTTTCTAGACAAAAACAAAAATTTATAAAAAATTAAGGACTAAAATAATAAAAAAATCGTTCGAAGAGACTAAAATAAAAAATTCACTAAAATATGATGACCAAATACATATTTAAACCTATTATGTTGACTTTCATCTCAAAGTATTGACTATGTATGTGCCAATTGAGGAGCAAACATCTTTGTCACCAGTATGTGTGTGTTTGGATTAGTAATTTTTAATTCTAAAAATATCTATTCAAAACATTAATAAGAACTTTTGAAAAGAATGATTTTTTTCCTAAAAATTAAGTTGATCTGAACAAGCCCGGTAATTTATGATAATTTTAATGTAATACACTTTCACATGCTTTTATATATAAAATTCAAACGTGAGGCCGAGAGATTTAGATGAACAAAATAATGAAAGTAAACCAATACAAGCAAGGTTACCTTTCGTGAGGATCCGGATCCAGTTCTTGCTGCTGTTGGTGGATCAACCTAACAATTAAAAGCAAAATGCAATGAAAAATCTAAAGGCTTTAAGTTCACAACAGCACATCACACCATATAATCATGAACTTCGTACCCAATGCACCTATAAATATCATTCAAGAAGTGGAAAAGGTTTAAACACAACAAAAAAAAAAAAAACACATCTTTACTGCCCAAGATTGCTAAAAGCATAGAACTGTAACTACAGAGATTCTCACAAGCTGCCAAATCATAAAAGCATAACTTTTAGCAATTATCAGAAAGGGAAGGGGGGGGGGGGGAGCAAGAATGTATGAATTCACCTTTCATTAAATTAACAATTCCTTGATGGCCCATAAAAAGTATAGAAATTTATAAATACATGACAATGGCCTAGACAAACCTAAATTTAACAATAGAAAACTATGATATCGAGCAACATTATACACCTGCAGGTAATATTGACGCAACACTTAAATGATTATAAACAAAAGTGAGAGATTAGCAGTTCTAACAGTTGGCAACAGTTCTGCAGTAGGAGAATGTATAGAGGGGAAAAACAATGGGGATAAAAAAAAAGGTGATTAGTTCATATTTATACCTCATCAAACTTCATGAAGTTTTGAGTATCCAACTCCCCATTGACTTGAGGTTTAAATGCTGCCTCCATTTCATACAACTTATCCCACTCCACTCCCTTGAACCAAGGATGAGCCTGGAGTATACAGAATGTATATATAAGTAGATGACAGAAAAAAGAAAGTTGACAAGGCCGTACAGCAATATTATTATAAAATGAACACCTTACCTTGATTTCATGTGCCCCTCGTGTACCTAATCTATGATCAACATCACATAGCAACCTGTAGATTAGATCCTTAGCCTCAAGTGTTAATTGGGCATCTTCTGGGAATATTAAATGATTTCTCCAATGAACAATCTGACAACAATGAATTACCGTCAACCAAAAAGAATGTCTGAACACTGACTCTAGGCAACATAACTAGAAGGATTTGAAATAATATGGTGACAAACAAGAGCATTAGCAGCAGTCATAAAAAGTGATGAAGATAGTCAAATAATGACCAGGAAGTAAGTACTAAACTGATCTTATCTCTCATAAGCTATTAGGAGAGGGCATGAGTGGTGTTATTACATCTATAACGATTAGGTGCTCCCTCAACCCCTTACATATATAACAATTAGGTCCACTTACCTTGTGTTAAAATTCAAATTTCTTTAATTTATTTAGAAGAATGCAGCTGGCACTGGCAGTCACAGAAGCTTTGATACCATGTCCAGAACCAAGTCTCCCAAAAGCTTAAACTACTAAGTGAAGGCACATGAATAGCTTTATTACATCTCTAACACATATCCCAAATTATTTGAATCAATATTATATGATCATCACAATTGATAAAAATAAAATAAATAAAAATCCTTTCCTCCCTTTTCTTCCAAACTTTCGCCCCATTCTTGATTCCCCCTTGTTTTTTCTTTTTCTCTCTTAGTTGCCAATATTCTATTGGAGGATAGGGAGAGGAGATAAAATATTTGAATCTCAAAACGAATACTTGTAGTAACAACTGGAAACAGTACTAAGTTATGTATCAGCTTAAACTGCCCCCCCCCCCTCCCCCCTCCCTTAAGCTCTCTAGTATTTCATTAGGAGATACAGAAAATGGTAGAATCCTTGTGTTCAAAAAGAACACATGTAGTAACAATAGGAAATGGTACTAAGTCACCAGCAGCTTAAGCTACAAATGAGATGCAAGTTATTATGAGAAGACATTAAACCAACAAAGGATGTTACCTTTCTGCATGTAGTTATTGGGTCATCAGAGTAAAATGGAGGGTAACCGACCAGCATTTCGTACATTATTGCTCCTAGTGACCACCTGTCCGTACAAAATAATCATTCCACATGAAATGTAATAAATAACTAGATGGAGGAAGATTGTAGATTTATTGTAAAACTTATCAAGTTAATTAAAAATTGCATAAATTCTTTCATAAAATAAGAAAAAGGTACAAATTTCAAATGATCAGCCAAAAGTATTAATCCATATTAAGCAGAACTACAGCCATGCAAATTAAATTTAAAAAAAAAAAAAAAACTGCATGAATCTTCATGACTGATAGATCACAAAACCAAAAACATAGGTAAGAACTAACCAATCACATTCCATCCCATAACCCTTTTTAAGAAGTACTTCAGGAGCAATGTAGTCGGGTGTCCCCACAGTTGAAAATGCCTTGCAATGAGAAACAAGGGAACTGTGAACTGAAAGGCCTTTGGTCGTAACAGCTATACTTTCATAGAAACAAGTGCAGCAGTAGTAATTGTAGACCATGCCATTGGCAAACATAATTTGCGTGAATGGATGTAAAACAGCCATGATCAGGTACTAAGGTTTTATACAAAATAAATTTATAGTACTGTGGCCCACATTACACCATCCTGCACTATACTATGCCATACTATCAGACTACACGTTGGAACAGGATTACACTATAATGGACAGAGGACCAGAGTTTCAAAAATTTTAAAACATACGAGAAATGTTAGGGTCTTTCAAAGATGTTATTTTAAATATAAGTATAATTTTGTTCATAAACATGAGTGACAACATAGTTTTTTAATGTATCAATAAATTTGCCAGCCTACCAACTTCCTCCTGTTCATCTGCCAATGCTGAAGCTGTTCACGTGGACTTCTCCAACTGCTTCGATTGTCCGCATCAGGAAAACATCCATCAATATCCATTGGCTCTGCCAAAGTTTCATCATCCATGGTCTGATTTTCATGCAGTGTAGACAAGGTAATACAATCGAGAGGCTTACAGAGGCCAAAATCAGATAGCTTCATGTGACCATTTTTGTCCAGAAGTAGGTTATCAGGTTTAATATCTCTGAAAAATAGATTAGGCAAATTAATATGACTGTTTAGTATGTAAGGGATACTTTTTAGCACCCAATAAACCATCATCAATGATTTAACAAATTAAGTCAACAACTTTTTAATCACATCCAAATTTAACCTGTGAATGTAATTATGTTTGTGAATAGATTCTATTGCCAGAACACTCTGTGCAATGTAAAATCTGGCAACATTTTCACTTAAGGTGTCTTCCCTCATCAGCAGAGTCATAACGTCACCCCCAGGCAGATACTCCATAATCAAATACAAGTAATCAGCATCCTGAAATGAGTAGTAAAGTTTCACAATGCAATGACTGGCAACTTCGGCCAGCAAGTTTCGCTCAGCTCTAACATGCTCCACCTGTAGGGAAAAAATACCTCTTGTGAGAAAAATAGCAACTAAGCGTTCTTCAAGACAAACAGTCATCCAATGACTTGGTGATCCATCCTCTATGGAGACAGTATAACCTATTAATCGGTCTAGATTAATACATTTCAGCTATAACATTGAAAGGACAATGTAGAGTACAAAATCACATGTCAGGTCTGTTATTTTCATCCAGATTATACATCCATTAGTGATTTCTAAGTTTTACTCTATTCAGCATGTTATATGCATATTTCTCACCTGACCTCTCCTAAGCATTTCAGATTTCTTCAGCTTTTTCATGGCATAAATATTTCCAGATTTCTTCTCCCGACACAGTCTAACCTGTAATTGAACGAGTTAGCAGAAAATAATAGCAGGAACAACCTTTACATAGCAAGAAACAGAATATTTTCCATTTCCCAAATGCTGAATAATGATGTATTCCATATCCAACAAGAATTCATTCATGCACAAATAAGTGTATAGTGACAGTTCTGACCTCCCCAAAAGCTCCCCTTCCAATGATGGTCAAAAGCTCAAAATCATTAACACAGATCTTGTGCCTCTTCAACCGCATATATTCAGTCTCCTTCCTCTCTAAATCTTTGATGAGGTTGATCCGTTCCTCGTTTGGCACATCTGAAGAAGCTAACTTTCTTTCTAAAACCCAACGCCTAGAAAAAAAAATTGTATCAGGATCAATAACTCCAAAACACAAGGTGAACAAAAGATCTGCTCCGACTAGAGACTATTTTAGTAAAATACATAAGCATAGCTACCAGCAGCGGGGCCAATGTAAACTTCCACTTCTTTAACTACATCTTTTTGTCAAATGAAGCTCACAAAAGGAGGAACGAGTGTTAGGTTGTTTCACCCTGATCAGACTAGACCACACCATAATGTCTAATAAAACAAGGCAACAAATACCTCTTATGATCAAGTCAATAAATATATTTCGTTCATTCATGGCACAAAACCATAATGTTATACTAAGACAACACCCAATGCAAAATATTGAAAGAGATGTGTGCTTTTTCCATCCATAGTGTAAAGATAATTCCAAACCAATAACTTCAATCGAAACCAGAATGCTCAATCTATAGAATAAGTATATCATGGTCCTTGTTTCTCATTCTAAGTAGGCCAAGACATATGTTTATCCCTATTTAGTAGCTATGTCTATTCATTGCATCATTGTTGTCCTTTAATTTTGTCCGTGCCATCCAACTACCACACTAGATGCTTGTGTAACTGTTGGTGATGCTTCCCAAATGGAATGACACTCATCGATAGACATGTACTTATAAAAAGCTAGAATGAAAAGGTTGTAAGATTATCCAATTAATTATCATTTATGCCTTCTACGAAATGCAATCTAATCAAGCCAATAATTTTGCAGATCAGGGTTGATTGTATAAATCTAACTTGATCACTGTTGACAAATACAGTTAATTATGATTTATGACCACAAGATGGTAAATAGTAAAAAAGAACAAAAAAAAAAAAAAAGAGCGCAGTTCAAGTTGTCTAACCATAAAAAGAGAAGATAATTAACTTGTTGGTTTTTCTTGGTCGCACATTAAGAACCCATATATAGCATGTTTTAATTTTTATTGGAAATCATAGGATCTAATGTATTGATAGCATTAAATGCTATAATTTTTAATAAAAAGTTACTATTTATTATTTCTTATTGTGTGCCCTTGAGCACACATTAAAAAATCCTTTAACTTATTTACAGATTTAAGGCTTGACAAAAATTATTCAATCAAAGCATATAGATATTGGATTGATAGGTGCTGTGAATACGCAAAAGATGCAATTGGGCCTCTCCTCACTGATCAACTGCGCAGATGTAACATGTTAATAGATTACAAATGTACTTATTGCAACTTATGAAGACAAAAATTCACTGATTAAGGTCAGGGTTATCATTAAGAGCCTGGATCATATGCGATGACAGTTACCTAAACTAACACAAAAGAGCCTCCATACTGTAACGACCAAGTTAATCCCTTCCACTGAGTCTCACACCATATACGGAGATGAATTGATTACTCTACCTCAACTCAAACATCCTATGCATTTACTTCAACCCATTAATCAGAGCAAATGGAGCATGAATTGCTTAAATAATCATTAATCAAACCAAACAGATTCACACCGAGATAATTTAAAGTAAGAAACTGTCAACTGTGGGCCTATGAACCCCAAATACAGTGATTTTCACCTCAGCTATCAAAGAAGTGGAAGCTGAAAAGGCAATCAAAAGATCAAAAGATAAGATCTACACCTGAGTTTGCATTGTGCTCGATTTTAACACTTCCCTAACCACGATGGTTCAAAAATTGATGACCAAATCAGAAGAAAATGAATAATAAACAGTTCCCCTACCTCTCCTTCCTCTCCTGGATGTTCTTCATCTGTGCCCTATAGTGATTCTCAATGAACTTCTTCGCCGCCGCCACCTTCTCCATGGTCAAGCTTGATCCCAACACCTCCTCTGCTCCGCTCTCTTCCTCCTCGAGATCCTCCATCTCTCTCTCTCTCTCTCTCTCTCTCTCTCTCTCTCTCTCTCTCTCTCTTCCTCTGTGTGTGTGCGTTGTCTAGCACTGAGAGTGTGAGTGAGAGAGAGAATAATGTGTAACTCCAACTACAAGTGTATCTATTCTTTAAGTATATAAATCTAACCTATCTGATTCTTCTGAAGCTTTTCTCTCTCTAACTCCAACACACACACACACACACACACTGTACAGCTTTCTCTCTCTAAAAAAACACCCTGGAGCTCTTATTTATTGCAACAACGAGGAGATGATGGCAAAGATGCATTAAAGAAAAAGGCACAGATTTAACCCCCGCATACGACACCAACGTTATCCAATGCACTTTCCACGCATCCTCGGAAGCCACGTAACCAACGCTGTTCGAGGATTTTCGATTGTCCCTTACGTGGCGCCATCTCGTTCGAGGACTCACCCGAAGTGCGTGGGGTGGTGGCGCAGGGGAAAGTGGATCCATGGAAAAGTGCGTTGCGGTGAGGGCGTAACGCGCTGGGGAATGAGGGTGTGGAACACATTGGGATGCGGTAGGAGAAAACGTCGCTGTCACATCATAAATGAAATTTGCGCATTTTTAGTACATGACAACAACGAGGAAGGGCCCCACTTTTATGGGTCTGATTGGGTCGTGACACCCACTCTCCTTGTTTGGGACGTTTCCTTTTATTAAATTCTCTGCGCTCTCATTGGCTGGAGCCAACCCTGTGTTATGGGCTTAGCTGCTTGTGTTTAGTGAGCTATCGCCGTATACATGTATTTTCCCCTCTGGATCTGAGTTGTCACAGTCCTATTCTACTCTCTTTTTTATTTTTCTTTTTTAAATTCAATTCTTTCCTGTTTCAACCCCACTCGCACCTCCAACACCTTCCTTAAAAGCTCAACTTCACGCACCTTCAACATTATGCTAATCTATATAAAGTTTTTAATATGTAAATTGTATTTTATATTTTATACGAGACTTCCAATTTCGGACTTTGAGACTTGACCCGTCGCGATACAAATGTCCAAACATACGCCACTTATCTTAATCTCATTCAATAAATCATCGTTCGATTATAATGTTAAACATTTTACTAATAGTGCATTAAAATCATATATTAGTAATAAAACTTTTCTCTGTGACACAAAAATAAATATTAAGAAAATTTGGCACACCTTAAAAAACGACGGTAAGGTGTATATTTAACAGCGTATGTAAACTGCGTTTTAGTTGGAGGTACAAACATATTCACAGTCATACAGCACATGGGGGTGGACCATGTTTCCATGTTGTTAATCTTTAATAGAATGTAAACCAAAACTATTTATAAAATCAATTTTAACTTTAGTGATTCAGACGATCTGGTAAAAAGAGTGTGTCGATTTGAAGAAAAAACTGATTTTCAGAAAGTATGAGTTAGAGCTGCTCTGTGACTCGTGAGGGTCAATTTGGTTCATATTTTAGGAGTAATCAAATCTGTTTAGAAAGTGAAATATACTTAATTTTAAAATCTAGTCATAGATGTATTATTTAAACAGTATAATTTTGTATCGAGAATCAATTTTATTTACTAAAATTTTCAGGGAAAAAAACAAAAAACAAAACAGCACTGGTCGTGAATTCAATGATTTATTGGTCACCGTAAAAAGTAACCAAACATGAATAACATTATGTACAACCCTAATTATTTTGAACCCAACCATGCTTTCGGTCCACGGCTAAATAGCCACTTAGAAGTTGTCTTACTCTCCTTTTTTAGCTGTCATTTTTTATTTTTTATTTCAAAATATATAAAAACTAACTTTAATTTAGAAATGTACTTTTTTTTAGATTAATTTTGTCATTCTAAAAAATCTTTATTAAAATTATTTCTCAAGCTAAACAAAACTCTATTTTAAATGTGCCTATTTTTAGGAAAAAGTTAAATCGTATGAAAGAATGGCTACGGCTTTATATATCTCCCTACTTATATTAAAAATATAATGTTTTAATAATTTAAAAAATCAATGTTAATGAAATGTTTAAAAATTAATATGTTTGTTCTTATATTGTTGAGATGGAAATATGCTTATTTAGAGGCGGTTCTTTGTCAATGAATGGTATATACCTTCGACTAGTTAAAAAAAAAAAATTATATACTGCTACATAATTAGTTTCTTTTTCATGACCACCTCTTTTTTTTTTTTAAATAAAAAACCGTCTTTTATTTATAATGTATCCAAATTCAACGGTTCATATTCTCTTTTTTTTTTCATTTCATTTTCAAATTAGCTTTCCAATCTCTTAAGTTATTAATTTCTTATTTTATATATTTCTTACTTTAAATATAATAGAATTAAAAATAAACTGAACAGCCCATGAGTGGCCTGCAATCAAGCTTACAAACTTAACCTGTCTTTAAGTTTTAAGAGTCTATTAAACTTGTTGGGATGACATGCTTATCGTGAATATAATTTTATACATGGTATTATAAATATGGTAATGGTTTTTGTTTGCTTTTTTATGTTGATAGACTTTTTAACCTTTATTTTATCATTTGCGTTGATAAACTCATTACCTTAACCGTGTTGATGAACTGATTGACTTATTTACTGTTTTGAATAGATAAAAAAATGACTCTTATATAAGTTATCAGTTAAATAAAAATGTTAATTTTAACTATGGTAGTAGAATAAATAAAAACGTCAATACAAGATTTTATAATTTAAAATCAAATTTGATTCAAAATATTATAGTGCCAAAAGAAAAAATATTAATTGAAAATATTAAATTATAATATAATCATGTAGATACTCATTTGTTATGTGTTTTTTAAATGAATTTAATTAGCTAATCAATAATATAATTTAAGGTGTTTAAAATACTGTCTTTAAAGATTATTTTAGTATAGTTAAAAATTCTTTATGATACAATAAGCTTTTTTTATTTTAATAAACTAAACTCTAAAAAACTAGTAAGTTTCTTTTAATTTATAACTCAAAAAAATAAATATAATTAAAAAGTCAGTACATCTTTTATACAGTTTTTAAAAAAAATTTAAAATACTTTAATTACTATAATTATTGACGTAAATATTATATATAACTGAAAATATAAATAATAATAATAATTAAATTAAAATAATTAATAATTAATAAATATTTTTAAAATATAATTATATTATTTTTAATACTATAAATATCTAGTACAAAATATAAGTTTAAATATAGTTTTTTTTGTCTAGTTTAATTGTCAACTCCTTATTTAAGTGTGTGTATGGTAATGCTTATTGTCATCAAACAGAAAACAAAAAAGTTTTACATTAATATTTTAAATGCATTAAATAAAAATATTTTAAATTTAAAATATTAACGCAGTAATGTAAAATTCCATATACATTTATATGCGTATAATCAATTTATCTAGTAAGAGGTGTTGTATTTAAACTCTATGGAAGTGGGGTAAAATATATTTTTTAATTATTTTTATATTTATAATAAATAATCATTGAAGAAAAAAAATATTTAATCTTCAAAATTTTGTTTATACAATAATAAAAAAAGAAGTGAATTCACACTTGAGAGTGAATTCATAAAAAAAGAGGTGGAGTGTGTTATATTGCAATAGTCCTTCATTCCCTTGTTTGGGTTGCGGTAGAGAGAGAGAAGCGCTTGTCGATGGCGGATCCCTACTATTCATACGCTTCTCCCGCTGCCCCTGACGGAGGTACTCTCTATTCCCTATTCGTAAGAAACCCCAATTTCACCCCTCTTTTTTATTAGCCATTCTCAACACCATTTAATCAGAGAGAAAAAACAATAACTAAATTCACATTTTCTTAACCACTCTAATCAATCACGGATTTAGGTTCAATTTGCACTTAGTTAAATTCAACAATTCCACTTGGTACATGCTCAGTTTAACTTATTTTAGAAAAATAATTTATCTTTAACAGTTTCACGAAAGAGTTTTAGAAAAATAAACTATTATTTACCCGGAAAAAAGTTCATTCAAACATGCATGCACTCAGGGTGCTTTTGGGCAACAGTTTAATTAATCATTTATTCAAGAAGCTCATATACATTAGTGGATTATGCCATAAGTTTGATAATAAAACTTATTGAGAAAACAAGCTAGGATGGCAATCTTAGTGAATTAAGCTGAAGAGGGTTATAAGCTATTTTTCATAAGCTCTTATAAGCTATTTGAAATGCATCATCTTTAAGGCTGAAAGCCTAAATAAGTTGTATGGCCATCTTATATATCGGGAAGACCGGTATTACAGTTAGTAATATTCTGTTTCTTGTTACCGGTTGATTTGGTTCTGCTAGGGCACATTGCAAGAACTAGTTTTGCCGCTTATGTACCATCCAAGGTTTCTCCTCATCCTCGTGTATCAGATTCTGCTGAATTGCGGGGCATTGGATCAGATTACCCGCAGAGAGATGTAAAAGAACTTTATGACAAATTTGAGTTAATATGTAATACAGGTGGGAGATGAGTTTTCACTTTTCACTTGGAATGTTCCTGCAGATGAACTTGCTGCAAACGGGACCTTACAGTGTTGATGAAACTCTGGGCTCCAGAATTCATTCTGAATCTGTTAAGGGTTATTCATCTCTTGGAGATCATAATCCCAGTAAACAAAGGGATACTCCATTGGGCATTAATCCAGGTGTTCCTGATATGAGCAGTGAAAGAACAATCTCTAAAAGCAGTTACGATGGTCTTCAAAATTCAGTAGGGGACTCGAACATTCTGTTTGTCGGTGGACTCCCAAATGATTGCACTAGAAGGGAAGTTGGACGTATCCTTTGTCGCTTATATGTCTGTTTGTGTATGTTTGCGTATCTGTTCTTGTCACTTATATGTCTGCATGTATGCGGTTGTGTATCTGTTTTGTTCTCAGCGTGTAGATAATGGATAGGAAATAAGTGTTTTTGAATTAAAGTCATGTTGGATGTACTGTATGAGTCCCTTTTTGGCTACTCTTTAAGTCAAGTGGAGCTTCACGTGGACAATAACTTGCCTTTTAGCGGTTTATGGGAATTAAATTACGACTGAAGTAACATTAATTGTATTCCGTTATTCTGTTGATACGATGCCTTGACTTATACCCGTAGATCTTTTCCGTCCTTTTATTGGCTATAAGGATATCAGAGTTGTACACAAGGAGCCTAGACGTGTAAGTATGTTAAATAAGAATTTCACATTGATTATTATAGTTTTGACTGGGAAACAGAAAAATACAATACATATGAGGTCATGATTAATATGTGTTTTTCAGGAATATGCTATTATGCTATTGCTTCTACACTTGTCTTGATGTTCTTCTAGCAATAAATTAGCTATGATCATTGAATATATTTAGTGTAGAATGTCAATCTGTGTTATTTGTCTTCTCTTGATTTATTATGAATATTTAGTAGTTTTGAAATCACTGCACATGCTGCAGAGTGGAGACAAGGCTATGACTTTGTGTTTTGTGGAGTTTATTGACCCCAAATGTGCTCTCACTGCCATGGAAACTCTGCAAGGTAATTTCTTTTTTTTTTTTGGTTGCATATAATTGAGTTTGATATCTACTCACTTGGTCCTGAGGAAAATAAAAAAGGTATTGAAAATAAACCAATAGAATATAATAAACAAGTATAATATTTATCTGATATCAATTATGACCTGGGTTTTTATTACTTAATTTAAGTCAATCTTTATAATTTTTATAATATTATTAAAACCCCTTGGGATCTATTACATAAAATTAAGAAAATTAAACATATGCTTGCAAGAATCCTTTTACTATCGTTGCAGTCACCATAGTTTGCCCATACCTTCAGCCACTGCTGCATTAAGAATAGATGTCAACAATTCTCGTAATGCTGACTGCATCATTGTTTTGAGAATCCGAACATCCTCGCCGGACTGGATTGGGATTAATGTGCCAAAGGTGTAGAATCATTGCATTGCCTCTACCTACAACACTTTTTTTTTGTTATCATGGGAAAAACAATCAGAGATACTTCATGCTGGAAGAGGTTGTAGGTAGTTTGTGAGAACAAAAAATGCAAACTTCATAGCAAGAAAAGACACATGAAATTGGGATAGTAGGCAGTCACCATGGTTCACCGTTACCTTTTACTTACTTTTTCTTTTGCAAAAGGGGGTTTAGGGTTCAAAATTTTAAATTTTTACAAACTAATCTATTGAGTTGTTTCACAATTATATAATTTTTATAAGGTTGTTTTTAAACAAAATTTATAAAATTTTACAGGTGACAGATAAAAAATTGTGTGGAAAATAATATACACCTGCTTATATTTTATTTGTATAATTAAAAAAGGTGCCATAGCTCCTTCAATTGTGAAGGCATGGTATGGTAGAAGTTGCCAAATAAAAAGTTTACTTGGTGTTGACATTATAGGATTCGGCTGAAAGTTAGGAAAAGAGATTATTCTCTGAATAATATGAGATCTGATTGTAAGATAGATGTGTATCAAATTACAGAGCACTAACGCATATATAAATATTCTAGTTTCTAAGTGAACCAGCACAATCTCAGCTATAAGTTACTAGGTACTAACTTAGAAAGACTCAAAAAGTAAATAACAATCCTAAATATTATAATGACTTCTTGTCTTAGATATCTAACAATTTGTGCTGTAGAAATTTTCTTGGTATTATTGGACTGAGTAAGTAAGTCTAATGCATGTGACTGATTTCACCAGAAACAGTTGTGTGCTTTGGATGTTAATTGGATGAAAATAGCTATTTCTTTTAATGAGATGTATTCTTATCGAGAAGAACCCACCACAAAAAAACAAAGTTGAATTTTATATATTAATATATCATATTGCTTTTATTCATATATAACATTTAACTTTGAATTTGCAATGTTTGTGTGAGAAGGTATACTACACATAAACCGAGCCTTTGGTTGTAATGTTGTCAATTTGAAACTTAATTAAAAGTTGCTTATGCATATTATAGATGTGTGGAAAATACATCTTATACTCGAATGTAAAATTTATGCAGGCTACAAGTTTGATGATAAAAAACCCAACTCACCGACCTTAAAAATACAGTTTGCACATTTTCCTTTTCGTCTACCACCTGATCATGGCAACGGTTCATCAGTATGACACACTCACACCAACTGGAAATTCATTTCTTGGGTGAGAAAGTATACGCTTCTCAGATTTACTATATCAGATGGAGAAATGTACTCCCTAGATTCAAAATTTACATGAGACCTGGCTGGTGAATATAGGATGCAAGAGTTCTGGCAACAAGCCAAATTTTTACCAGAATGTTTATTAGAATTTTCATGATGATTTATCGGCCTCTACCAGTAAAGCCTCTCTGATCATGGGAATAAGGCTGTGGCTTTGTACAAAACTGTTTTGACCCTCGTAGATCTCAGAACAGTGAGAGGTTCATGTATTTGACCGCCCTTTTAAATTTTCATGCTTAAGCAAGTAGTTGTAACAATAGTCAGGGCTTGTGTGAAAAAAAAAAAGCGATAGTTAGGAGTTGGTTTAATCTTATTTTGACATCACTTTGTGCATTATATCAATAAATCATGATATGTTGTATATGTCATCTCGTTTCATTTTGGCTTCAACTATGTATGTACTTCAAGCCGTGTTTCCTATTCCAGAGGGACCCAGGTTCCCGGTGGAGATTTAGATTTTAACTAAAGCTGATTAAAGAGCTTGATGACTCCATTTACATGTGCCTGATGTGGTAATGCCGATGATCAATGAGTAGAGCAAGATTCTAAATAACTATGTACCTCAGGATGATTGAAGATTAGGCATCGTGCTTTGTCGGTTTATTGTTTGGTTGTAAGTGATAAATTGCTCCTACACAAATCTAATGGTTGCCCCCAATTTTCACAATGAATCTTTACCTAACGAATTCTTCTTTTTGCTTTTGGTCCAAACATTGTTCTTTTCTTTTTTGGGTTGCCATGCTCTTACTTCGAGTCAAAAGGCAAAGGTATTGGGTTGAACCTTGCCAGGTCTCAGCCCGAATTTGGTCACGTCCTTTTTTCACGGTCGTCGGCCCACTTTTATGGCCTTATTCAAATCATATTATAGATTATTTTTTGTCAATAATCATTATAGTTAGACTTCGGGTAGATAACAAATGGCGAGCTCAATTTGAATGCACAAATTACAGGGTACAGATAAATTTTTATCTTAGTTGACCAAAAAAAAAAAAAAGAAAAGATAAATTTATTTTAGTGTTGACCATTGTTTTGAATAACTTTTTTTTTTTTACTTTTACCGAAACTAAAACGAAATTACGAACACTTTTCCCACGAGGGAAAGAAATTGTCTAAAACACATTACGACGACTTGAAACATGGGCCCATTTCGACTCCAAAAAATATGCAAAATTTGTAAGCATTAGGGATTATATTTATTGAAGGTCTGGTCCATTTGAGCCAAGATAAATATAAACTAATTTGTTCAGCTAATTTGACCTTAAGTGAATAACGATTTGTTTGGGTTAAGTTAAAACTTCAAAGTTAATTTTTTTTATTAATACAGTTAGACCATAAAAATTTAATTTAAATATTTAATTTGATTAATTAGTATATAAATATTTAAAATAATTGCTATTTATAATATATGAATATGTTGTAAAATAACATGAAGGTAAATAGAACATATTCATGTATTACAAAATTGAGAGTTTATTCTATTTTTAACATTAAGAACTTTACGCACTTAGAGGTAGTGAGTAAGTGTATAAATCTATCTAATACCAATAATATTTATATAACATTTTTATCTGTTATTTACTTTTTATGAAATATATACACCTAAGGAGTATATTATACTTATTTTTCTTTCTCTTAAGAGTTAGTGTTTGGTGAAATTCAGTTGTGATATTTTTCTCATCATGGTAGTTGAGTGTGAACTATGGCAACAAGTGCAACAAGATCTTCCATGTTGCCGGTGAAATTTAGGAAGCAATCTAATTGAGAAACAATTATTTATGGTTGTGAAAGTGAAAATGACAATATCCAGAAACATTGTTTGGGGCGTGTGTGAAAGTGACTTGTTTCTTATAGACTTTGGGAATAGCTGTGTGCACCGACATCACATCACAAAGGTGTCTTGTGCTTAGATTTCAAAATAATGTGGTCCAATCAAAACTTGCAATTCCCTTTTCTTCTTTTTTCTATTCCCGTACGGGATAATGTGAATGTGAACGCGAAGAACTTCTAATCCCATAATAGCGCCTTTGACACTGCGGCGAAGACTACGCGTCAATGTCATGCCGGAAAAGGTGTCGTGTCAACTAAGAATTAAATATGCAATGCGAACGTGTATGCCATGCGCTTCTTCTTGTTCATGTTGTCTTTCAAATCATAGTTATTCTATTGTCATTCTGTTCTTAATTCTATGTTTCCAGTTTCACTTTAACTCCTCTACCGCAATTTTTCTTCTGCAGCTTTAGTTTTGGTAATTTATTATTGTGCAAAATTATGTTAATGATTGAGATTTATGTTGTACAAAATATTAGTTGTGCCAAAACTCACTGGAGAGGATTTAAAGTAATCTTATCAATATTTCCAATTGGAAAAAAAACTTGAGAATGTTGCTATTTCATAACTTAAAAAATATTATATAAACCTCAACATCACAGATTAAAGCTAACTGTTACACACCCCATCTGTATACTTCAAGATCTAAATAAATCATTTATTGAAATATTTGATTCAGGCATTCAGCTCTGCTTGTCCGGGAATTTGAACCAAACACTTTGCCTAAAAGTTATAATACTGTGTTTTAAGGAATTATGTCTCAAATAAGTAGAACTACGAAACAAACATAGATACAGTAGCGTGTGAAAGGAGTATTAGCATCACTTGGTACAAGCAAAAGCTGTTCTGTTTTTATACCGGGACTTTTCTTACAATTGAATACTGAACAGTAACGAGAATGTTTCTAATTTACGCTTTTAAGTGCAAGAACAGTGTGTGTTTTGCTTCCTAACAGAAAAGAAAAACTTGCTTTTTTTGAAATTAGTGTAGAAAAGCACATTCGTTCTACATTATGCAAAGGAATGCCGCAACGAAAGAACGTTCTGATTTCATTAACCAATGTCTTAACAGGCAATTTAAGTATTGAAACTAAAAGACTGTTACAAAAGAATGATATCATCTGGTTTTATTAACTAATCTCTTACTATTTGGCAATTAGAGCAAGGAGTTGGAATATTACAAGCCCCTGAATCTTACACATAAAACCCTGCACCTACGATGACTATAATTAATCATATATTCGTTGAAGGGCGAATATACCTTTTAGTTACAAGGCCCTTTCAACAAATAATGATGAATGCCTTGAATATCATCGTCAATCATGTCTTGAACAAGAAACAAGCAAAAGAATTATACATAATCTTGAGTTACACAACTTTCAATTAAACAAAAGAAGTGCCAGCGAGTCCATGGTGCAAAAGGTTATGAGCAATGGCATCCCTGGCCTTCATGGAACTAGCAGACCTCAAGGCAACCTCAGGCACCATCACCATGTCATCATCATCATCATCATCATCCACATGATCAACCTTCAACTCAGGATCCATTTCTTCATTCTTCAACTCACATATATTATGCAACACACAGCATGCCCCAAGTACAACAGGCAAATCTTGAAGCTTCACTTCAGTCCTCTTCTGCAAGCAACACCACCTTCCTTTCAACCTCCCAAACGCATCCTTAGCAACCGTTTGAACCTCTCCAATCTTCTCATTAAAAGCATGTTGAGTCCAAGTAAGATTCTTCTGAGTATAAGGCACCAAAACCCAATCCAACAAAGGGTACCCAGAACCCCCAACAACCCAAACACCATTAAGAAGACTCCCACTATTAGCCCTTTGAAAAAGCGCTGACTTTTCCAATACCTGATCATCACCCATTGAACCAGGCCACCCAATACAAACATCAGTGAAAACCCCTCTATGGTCAACAACACCCTGGACCGTAATGGAATAACAAGTCTTATGATTCTTCTCAGTGTGCCTCTTGTTGAAGTAAGCTGAAACACTAATCTTAGGAGCAATGATGGGAACATGCGAAGTGTACATGGACCCCACAACGTTGGGAATCCCAGAAACAGTCTCAAACTCATCCTTGATGTTCCTTGAGGTAACATCATTAGGCCATTGCAAATACTTGGGCATAAGCACTGTCCTTATAGCAGTGCAAACCTCGAGAACCAGCTTGTGACAAGTGGATATCCCCAAACCGAATCGTTTGGAAACGACCCGAAGAGGGTCACCGGTGGCCAGCCGCCAGAGACAAACCGCCACCCTCTGCCGCACCGGAATGGCGTTCCTCAGCGTCGTGTCTTCTTTCGCAATCACTGAATTCAGCTCCTCACAAATCGCTTCGAACGTGACTCTACCCATTCTGAACGCTTTTCTGAACTCTTCTTCAGGGAATTCGGGTCTGTTGCATTTGTCCCACCACGCGCCCGAACGGTCCTTCACCCAAAGTCTCCGGTGATGAGCCGGCGTCAAGGAATCGCCGCCGGCGAGTTTCTTTCTCTTGTTTTGGTCGGATTCTTCCACCTCGCTGTTGCAATTGTCGAGATTGGAGTAATAGTCGAGCATGTCTTTCTTCTTGTCGTTGGTTTCAATTGAGAGAAGCTTCTCTTCATCGTCATCTTCTTGTTGTTGTTCCTCACTTTTCTGTTGTGCATCAATAAACAACAGTGATGTGAAGATGCCATTGAGTTCTTTCTTCTTTTTGTTCTTCTGGGTTGATTCCTCTTTGTTCTTCTTCCTGCGTTTTCTCGTCGTGGGCTCGTTCATTTCACGGTAACAGAGAAGATCCCGATTCTGGGTCTCTGAAAGTTGCGATTTTTACACTGATAATGATGATCAGCAGTGTAGTGTTGGTTTATCTCCGTGCACAAGCAATGAAGCTCCTCTTTCTCTTCCTCACCTGGTTGCGTTTTTAATGTGTCATAAACCAACCACAGTGTGAACGGGGGTTTTGAAAAGTTTCATAATATATCAATTTCCATCTAATTTAATATTGTGTAGGGGGCATTGAATTCAATTTAATATTGTCAATGATATGCTAACGTGTTAATTAATTAATGATTTCTCTTCAAAATATGTATAAATCATTTATTGGATAACATTAGTTTCAATTTTATTTATAAAATTTTTTACTGTACATACTTAAACACATAATAAATAAAAAGAGTTAACGACGAACCTTAGCGATGCATAAGTAATTTTTAATAAAATTAAACGTTGCTGTGGAAGGTGTTCCTTAATATACGACGATCTTGCAATTAAAATTCTTAAATTAAACACAATTTGATTTCGATTTACTTAATTTGACTTTTGAACGATTTAAAGTTGAAGGAAAGGGATGAGTGGGGGCGATAGTGACGGGGGAGGGGGAAATGTGAACACGATTTAGGATAAGGAACTTCTTTTTCGATTGGATTGGCAGTTGCTATTTCGTTTCGGCGGGTTAGGTAAAGGAAAATACAAATACAAATAATCTTTTATTCAACTCTGCTTTCTTAATATTAACAAATCAAATAGAAAATAAATCAATAAAATTATTATATGTATAGATATAAATAAATAAAATTATTATAAAAATATTTTTATCAATTCTTTAAAATTTTAAATATTTTCATATTATATAAAATTCATTCAAAATAAGACAAAAACTAAAAAATTCAGACCCCACATGTCCCCAGACAATTGCCCGCTCCTTTTCATTCCTCAAGTGAATCAAAATCAATCAAATCAGTTCTACATAAATCGTTAAGTTTCAGTTACTATTCAACAAACCACTGAAATATAATAAACTATATAATTTTATTTTAATGATATTAAATAAAGCGTAAAATTAAGTATTTAAATAACAAAAATTTATTATAAATATTACTTTTAAATATTTAAATTCAATAATAAAAAATAAAATAAATGAATAATAAATATAATAGGTCTCATTAGCGATACGGAATAATAAAAAGAGAAGTAAAGAATTTTAAATAAGTGTTAAATTTTTTAGTATTTATAAATCAATCTTTTAACGTGTTTAAAGATATGTTTAAAAATTTAATAAAAATATTTTTATTAAATATTAAATATTTTATATATAATTTTTATGTTATTAGACACATGAATAATAATTATCATTAATTTTATATTAATAAATAATAAATTAATAATTTATTAAAAAATATAAATAATTTTTATTTTTAAAATATTAAAATAATTATATACAATATTTTCTTAAATTTAAAGATATTGCAGCAAGCATTGTTTAAATTACTTATTTATGTAAATGAATGTAGACATTTTTCATTTAGTCTGTATTTATTAGGCATGCAGACTTGGAGTATGCAAGCACGTTCAGATGCCCCAGTGGGTCCATCTTTGCTAAGCTAATTCAACAATTAACACAACTTTTGACCAATTTTGCCTCTCCAACTATAACATAGACAAAATCATGGATGAAAAGTTTTTTATTTAAGAGTTTATAACCTATTTTTTAATTAATAAATTAATAAAATTATTTGTTCAAAAATAAACAAATAAAATTGTAATTTTTTAAAATTAATTTATGAAAAGTTATTTCAAAGCATTCAACTTATTAAAAGTTAGCTTTTGATATTTTTTAAAATGTTTATCTTTAATTTTTTTAAACTATTTACATTAAAGAAAAATAATTTTTAACACTTTTTAATTGTTTTAATAGACTATATAATTAGTTACAAACTAGCTTTCTACTAATTTACTAGCTATAAATTATAAATTGGAAACTTTCAACCAATTTTACGAAATAAAGTGAAAATACGACATGTTTTGCCAGATGCAAAATTCAAAATTCAAAATTCATGAAGAAGTTCAATGGACAGTAATCGCAAATCATCCTGCAGAAATTTAGATTTTTTGAAACTCCAATGACGTTTACTTGACTCATACTTGTGTTTTTTGCCGCACCCTTTATGTAGCGAGCAAAAGCAAACACAGGCACAAATTATTGCCTGTGCAACGAGGACATACTTCGACACAATCAAGCATTCATTGACATTGTGGAAAATGGTTCACTCTCTCGGCATGTTGTAGTTCTGTTCTTCACCAACTTATTTTTGAATGCCCATATTTTATTCCAAAATTTGTCATTAACAATTTTTGAATTTCTGTAATTAATTATTCCTGTTACCGAGTACTGATTTGATCTCCAAAACTCTCTGAGATTTTGTACATGTTGTGCAATATTAACTAATCATTCCAACTAAAAGCAGATGTTTGACATGAAAATTTTAAAGAAAAAGTACCACTCTCAATCATGGATTTGGAATTCGAACAAGTTGGCTCAGTTCCACTATGGGAAGGGATTTTATTTAACGATCCTGAAGAAAACGTGATACGTGATGTTGTTTGAATTGAACTTTATCTTATCCAAAGGGTACACATTTTTGCAAAAGGAAGTATGCTAAATATGACAACCGGAAGGTCCCACTTCCACGCTCACGGCCAAACACAACATTATCGGTTGTCAGAGTTCAAATGCTTACAATTCCCGTAGTTACAATATTAAATGTTATGTTTTTTAATAACATATTCGAATAAAATTAATATGAAATAAAGTGAATAATAAAGTTTTATTAAAATTTACATAATATCAGAAGATGTAATACATTATAATATTAAATGTTATATTTTTAAATAAAAAATACCATTTATTAAATTGGGTGCTATATTCTCTAGTAACAGTCAAATTTAAGGCGGTAAAATCCAGTTGGGGTTGGTCAACGGTTGTTCAAAGGGAAGCCCAAATTAAACAAAAACGAACGGTGGAGGATGTTACATGGGAAAGGTTAGTTGCATCCGTTTTTGTCGTCAATTTGCATGGGGTGTGTCGGTTCCATCTTCAGAGAAGCGTCTTCTCCTTTCCTTGTTCCTCAACCTTGTTTCTGTTGGACCCAACGGGTGGCGCCGCTCCCACGTTAACAAAGAACCATGTCTATGCAACAGCCATGCGCCGCGCCGCCGCAAAATATCACAATGGTGGCTGTTGACAAAGACAAGAATAGTGCCTATGCCTTCCGTTGGGCCGTTAATCATCTCGACAACCCCCTCATCATTGCTGTCCACGTCAAGCACAAAAACCTTTCTCATCGTAGGTACCCTCTTATCTTTTATCGCATTTTAATCATGCATCACATTTTTTCTTTTAATATAATAGTCGTAATTAAGGAAGTTAGTTTGTACTTCACTACAGCCTCGTACAATTACATAATGGGCATTAAGCTTTAATGTATTAATTATTTGATGTGTGTATGTATGTATATAGTTGGTGATTTCTTTTTTCTCTTATTGATGATTACATAATGCATTGCATGTACGTGCAGTTGGCACCAATATTTTTCCTCCCGACGAAGAGGATTTAGCCAACATTTTCAATACCTTGCGTGGATTGTGTAGTCGTAAAGCGGTATGTAATTCATGAGATTTTCATTTACAAGTAACATCGTGCTTGAAACTTGCACTCACTATCGATTTGACGCATTCAGGTCATGATGAAAGAAGCGGTAGTTGATGATAGTGATGTTTTGAGAGGACTTCTAGAATTTGCAAACAGGAATCTCATACACAGTGTCGTCATCGGTGCATCCAACAAGAACGCTTTGTCAAGGTCTCTCTCTCTCTCTCTCTCTCTCTCTATATATATATATATATATATATATCCGCGCGTTTCCTTTGCAAATGTGGTAAAATTGGCATGTATATACTATATATTTATCTAACGAACTGATGTTCCATGGTGTGTGACAGTCTCAAAAAATTTAAAACATATCATTTTGATATACCAACAGCCATGATGAAATCAGCCCCAGATTTTTGCTCTGTATACATAATTTCCAAATTGAAGATTGTGTCAGCTCGATCAGCAGCAAGATCAGTGGCAAAAAATTTTATGTCCCCAGCAAAACAATATCCTGTGCCGGCAGGTCCATCTATTGATTCAGAAGGAGGATCATTAAGGTGCCAAACTTATTAACAACGCGTGAAATTGCCGTTTCTTATGTTAGATTAGTTGAAAACTAAAAAGTAATGCATTCATCATTTGAAAGAACTCAGTATTACCAATTATTGTTATGTTCTTGACATGAACACCTATATATATATATATATATATATATATATAGAGAGAGAGAGAGAGAGAGAGAGAGAGAGAGAGAGGAATGCTAACTCGATGAAAAAAGCTCAATAGTTTACTAACGGCTACTAACAGTGGAAGAAAATTCAATGCCAACTGAATTTGGATCACATTAAAAGTGGTGCAACTTGCTTTTTAGTTTCTTGATCATGTTGGTCTTACTACAAGCAGGGGACAATCAAGTAGGAGTAGGGGCACTTATGAAGGACAAGAAGCAATAAGATCACAAATACGTGAGAAGCCAAGAAGTGCAGGAAGTAATATGTCAATGGAGAGCATTGATATACAATCTCGTCCACGACATTGGTCAATGGATGAAAGAGAAATTTCGGGGCTTGGGCAAATGGATGCAATCAAACGAGAACCTGAGTCATCATCAGATGGCACAACATCAGCTTCCAATTCTGTAAGTGCCAAAAAGAAAGGTGTCTTTATTGTGGATAGTGAATTGAAATGTCTTTGTTATGGAACTAGAACCATTCTTTGACCATACAAAGATTGTGAAATTATGCATTGAGAACCTAACTTTCGAGTCCTTACTTCCTTACAGAAAGAGCTGGAAGCCGAGATGAAAAGATTGAGGCTCGAACTGAAGCAGACTATGGACATGTACAGTTCAGCTTGCAAACAAGCAATCTCAGCCAAAAATCAGGTGAAGTTTAGAAGTTTATCACTAAACATGATGTTTCTCAGTTAGATAAAGTCAGTGAACAAGGTGGTAATGGTTTAATGGGTATAAAATGAAAATTATGAAAAATGAGTGTAGAATGTGATTGGTTAAACAGGCAGAACAGATTCATCAATGGAAACTGGAAGAGGGACGTAAGGTTGAGGAGGTTAGGTTGTCTCAAGAGGCAGCTCTTGCAATGGCAGAAAAGGAGAAGGCTAAAGCCAAAGCTGCATTGGAAGCAGCTCAGGAAGCCAGGAAGAGGGCTGAAGAGGAAGCACAAAGAAGAAAGGATGCAGAGATGAAGGCAAAGAAAGAGGCAGAAGAGAAAGATCGAGCATTAACTGCATTGGCTCAAAATGATAATCGATATAGAAAATACACCATAGAGGAGATTGAAGAAGCCACAGAAAAGTTTTCCCCTTTAAAAAAAATAGGTGAAGGTGGATATGGGCCTGTATATAAAGGCCAACTTGATCACACCCCAGTTGCAATTAAAATTTTGAGTCCTGATGCATCTCAGGGCAGAAAGCAGTTCCAACAAGAGGTATTAACACTATATTTTTAAATGTGTAACCTAACATTAAAAATGCTGTTGAGTCTACCATCCATGAAGCAACTAAGTGTGTTTGCCTATTCTAACAAGTATGAAGTGATGTGCAAAATTGCAAATTTTCAAACACCCCTTTGGTAGAAGATGCATAAGTAGTCCTTAACTTTTTAAACTTTTAATACAAGACTATGTTTATGCAAATATAATATAACAATATACTTTTTCCTGCTTGGTTATATGCATAGGTTGAGGTACTAAGCGCCATTAGACATCCTAATATGGTCCTACTCCTTGGTGCATGTCCTGAGCATGGGTGCTTGGTGTATGAATTCATGGATAATGGTAGCTTAGAAGATAGATTATACCGGAAAAATAACAGCAGGCCTATTTCATGGAGGAAACGATTCCAAATAGCTGCAGAGATTGCCACTGCACTCCTTTTCCTTCACCAAAACAAGCCAGAGCCTATTGTGCACAGAGACCTTAAACCATCGAACATTCTCTTGGACAGAAATTATGTGAGCAAAATCAGTGATGTTGGTCTTGCAAGACTAGTCCCTCCTTCTGTAGCTGATACTGTCACACAATATTACATGACTTCAGCTGCTGGAACCTTTTGTTACATTGATCCTGAGTATCAACAATCGGGGATACTAACAACAATGTCAGATATATATTCATTGGGCATAATGCTATTGCAGATAATCACAGCCAAGCCTCCAATGGGTCTTGCTCACCAAGTTAGAAGGGCAATTGAAAAGGAGAAGTTTGAAGATGTGCTTGACCCTGTGGTGACTGATTGGCCAGTAGAAGAAGCTAAAGCATTTGCCAAATTGGCATTGAGTTGTTCAGAACTCAGCAAGAAGGACAGGCCAAATCTTGCAACAGTTGTGTTGCCAGAACTTAACAGGTTATGCGATCTTGGATTTACTTTACCCAATGATCAAGTTACTATTAGTGATGAGCAAAGCTCAAGCTATGCGGCACGCCCTCCCACACCAACTGGAAATCCACATTCAAAGACGTCCAAATAGGACCTAGGTTCGTATGACACTTATGTTGTAGAAGACAATCAAAATAGAATCCATGCAATTCAAATTATTTAAGTGTTTCCAACTGTAATGAGCCAAACTCAAGCCTCCAACGCATAGTTTATAAAAAACTTTCCAGTTGTAAATGCCTTTTTATAACATTTTATATTATTATTGATTTGATTTCGGATTTTTGACCAATTAGGAGTAAGTATCTAAGGAAGGTGTTGGGGAATTTAGAGCTACCCACCCCAAGAAAGGAATATGCAGCAGTTAATTAACAATTGAAGATGACAGATTAAGAGCACCGAGATTCAGACAACGAATCCATGAAGCAAAAACAATCCCATTTGAAATACTCTAGCAAATCTTCTCACAAACAATGATGAGAAGGAATGTGTTGTCATAGTGCATGACTTCCATTACACTCAACTTTATAAGAATTTGCAAGAACATAAAGTGAAAAAGGAGGCTCAGAATTTCCGCTAGCAAAGTAAAGTATAACCAGATCAACATAAAGAGAGATGGATTATATAAGGGGCTGGTATAAGAAAAAGAGAGAGATTGCTAGAGAAGCATTGCTTCGGATTCCCTTACCATGAAAATGAAAAGGTGCAAATTACATTATCCAAAGTACTAATTCCAATGATATAAAAATGTAGTAAATGGTTGGTGTTTTTCAGTCATTTTCTAATGTTATGATTATGACTCATTTCGTCCCCTTATCCTTTCATTATACTTATCCGTAAAACTCCAAATGTAATTAGGAGCTCCAATAGGCGACAAATAAGAAGTCAAAATTGGTTGAAATTTTTTATAACGTGTTTTCTTTGAGGTGGAGGATTCAGAAAATTGTGGGGTAAGACACTCGGATTTTATCATGATGTCGGGTCCTTGTTTGTCATTTGATTAAAATACAAATAATAGTCATTATTTTTAGTTGAGTTTTAATGTAATATCACTAATTTAAGTTTTCGCTAATCACTTATATAATGAATTTTATTACATTAACAACTGCGCTACAATATAATTTTCTAGCACTCCAAGTCCAAATGCCCTCTTAAGGAATGAAATGGCAATGCTTGGATAAAATAAGTCAACATTTGAAGACCCAAATATCACAAAGTATTTAATTTCATCTTTACTAATATTAGATTCTAGTAAAAAGAATGAAAAATTAAACAACTATTGTCCATTATATATTTTTTTATTTGAGTAGTAATAAATTTATATTTTTACATTGAAAAATGCTAATTAATCATCGTCTTTAAAATGTTAATGAAATAAACAAAATAAAAATATTTAACAAAAAGTACTATTTATCATATTAAAAATAGAAAAATGATTTAATTTTTAAAAATAATTAAAATATTAAGTATAATGTAAAAGTTTCTTAAGTATAGTGTATTTATAGTACTTCAAAGTAAATAACTAGATATTAGCAAAATATTACCCATCACTTTATTTTTAAATAAATACAAAAATGTGTAGTAACCTACGAATATGCTAGTAATATAATTACCCAAGAAGTTAATATTTTTTAAAATATGAAACGATTATCATGTAATTAAGTAAAGAAAAAGAATTTCAATGTCGAAAGAGTAATAATAATATTACTGGTATTTTTAATTTTTAAAAGTGAAAATAAAAATTCTCTATTATTAATAGTTAACGTATTTGCCATCAAATTTCTAAAGTGAATTTGGGATTTGCTTTAATAATAATAATAATAAACTGTGACATAGCCTGAGCAGGTCTATAACTATTAGCATCGCATACGAAGGAAGCATCTAAGATTCCGAAATCAAGCTTCCAAAAAACCTCATTAGCACTATAGGAAAGAGCCACCTGGTCCTCACTCCTTTACCTTTGTTAGTTCCACAAGTAACCTGATTCTACAAAATTTGCAGTAGTTTCTATATCACAAAATCCACTTCTAGCAAGGCTATGAACAAACCTTCTGGGCTTCTCCGAGCCCCTCCCACGTTAGCTCAAATGGGTCACAGTCAGTTTTCTTGTAACATAAAACTTGTGTTGATGGGGCTGGCTTTGTTAGCCAAAGTGACATGGGAGGACAAAATAGAAGCTCCATCAAGTGATCTTTTCTGCATCAGTGACTGTGCCACATGTCCTGTAATATGTTCACCTCCTCCTCCAATTCTAATAACAAAATCATATCCTCCACCATCACCTTCTGTACCCCATTATCCATCACCTTCTTATTTCACCTTCTCACCACCTCCTCCCAATTCGCCACCATCCCCTTCATCACATTCAAGTGCTCCTCCCCCACCACCTCCTTTCAAGTCCTATACACCCCCTTCAGGTTCAGCACAGCCACAGCCTACAGTGATCGTAGGGCCACATGACTTTTCCTATCCATATTACTATTTTTATGCTTCCGCTGCTTCTTCTCTTTCCAATCATGCACCCTTTTTGGTCTTGTTATTGCTCCCAATTGGGTATTCTATTGTTGGTAACTGGTAGTTTTGTACTGTAAGGGAAGGTTATAGAAAAGTTGAAATGTTTTTGTTTGGGGAAAAGTAGTGCCTCGTATATGTTTTTGTTTATTCTGGGTCTAGTGATGTTAAGGAATAATCGAATGGAAATATATAATTTTTGTTTGTTTGCCAACGTATCTGTGTATCTTTTAGTGCAGTAATCAAATAGATTAAAATTGAAGTTCCCTCTAGCGAAAATCATGTTGAGTGTCCCCACCTTTGCGATAATTTTGTTGCCAACAATTTTTGTTGCAAATTCTGTCCCTTCTCACTTTTGTCTTAATTGTTCTCGTTTGTCCTGTCTGGGGTGTCTGCCACTGAATGTTCGAAGTTTATGTGGTGAAGATTCAATGAGAAGGGAAAGGAAAGGAAATTATCAGTCGAGTATTTTAGAATCAACGGCTAAAAGCAAAATAGATGATTGGGGAATGTCTAAAGGAAAACGCAAATTCTGCCTATTACTTTTTATTTCTAATAAGGGCTTATTGCTATTACTGTACTGTACATTCTAATTGAGGTTTTAAATTGTGGAGTTAAGGTAGCGTTAAAATGTTCCGAAATGGTTATAAATATGATCAAAATATTTTTATAAAATTTAGATAATATTTTAAATTAATTTTTAGAAATAGATTAGGCTTAATTTTAATGTTGAGTATCTACACGTGTCCGATCTAATTTATAACTTTCGATTTAATGGCTAAAAGGACCCAATCTTGAGATGTGGCTACAATATATTAAAAGAATAAAGTCATATTAGCTGAGATTGTAATGATTCCTCATTTTATATTTCACTTTATATAATTTTTTTTCACTTTTTTGTATTATAAAAATGTCTTTCGTTTCAATCATTTCAACGTTAAAAAGCATTAAAATGAACTATGTTTTATACGATTAAGAAATAAAAACAAAAAGTTTATTTAACTCAAGATTAAGATGAATTAATGTGAGGGATTACAGTATAATTAATTCAATGAAAAAAAAAGTACTCTTAATGGAAACCGGAAGAAAAACTCGCAGCTAGTGGAGCATACTAACGTCTTTGTAATGCACCGAATCCTCGGATTTCGAGATAAAACTTTGACAAAGTGCTACTTATTTCTTGTTTATATTCAATAAAACTGATATCAATTTTGACAAAATACGTAGACGTGTCTTTTATCCTTCTTTTGTATGGAGTCTAAGCAGGAAAGATTTTCTACTTTAAACTACTTTACGCAACTTATTTTATGCTACTTTGCTGGAAAGATTTATAATTCGTGGATGATGTCCGAGTGTTACTTGAGTCTTGATTATACGTTACATTTGGATTTGTAATTTAAATGTGTGTTTTGAATTTTTGATGCTTTAGGTGTCTAGTTAATACACATATTTTGTACAATTTAACGTAATATTATGCTTCCTATAAATCTCTGCGGTTTTAAATGCTAATTGCATGTGTCCGTCTCACTCGTTATTTATTTATCCTTAAAATTTCCGTTTCAACATCATTCAACACACTCACTATATATCACATATACTATATTTTATAACATTTAAATGGTAATATAGACAAGAAAAAGATGTTGCTAATTTTTGTTAAATAATATTTTTCTAATATTTAAAAAATATCATCAAATGTAACTATTGTTACGTGGCTTGATTATCGATACTCTCTTTTGTGTTAATTTAGAGTTATATTTCACTTCCTTTTTTTTTTTTTCTCTATCCACACTCCCTTCTTCTCAACCCTTATTTTATCCCATTTATCATTAACTCCAACGATTTAACCTTGTTGCACGATAAGGTACGATTCCTTCTTCACAGCGCTACTTTTGTTTGTTAAGTCATTCTAGTTTCATCTAGTATTGCTCATCGTGAGAAAAGGTCAAGGAAATTGTTGGAGTTAACAATGAATAAGGTGACATAAAGGTTGGAAGAAGCACTGTTGGTAGAGAAGAAAATATGAAAATGAAATATAACTGAAAAAAAAAACTAACGCAGAAGGAAAAAGAGGAATAAAACGGGTTCTAAAAGTTAGAGAAAATATTACTTAATAAAAATTAGCAACGTTTTTATCAGCTTTACCGTTTAAATGTCACAAAATCTGATATAGTAATGATTTCTTCTTGGCTGCACTGAACATAGTTGGTTTTAGTTTTCTTGTTTATTTCTTTCTTTTTAAATTCTTTTCCTTTTCATAGGGACTAAATAAAGCGTTAAAAAGTTATGACAAAAATATAAAAAAAAAATTATGAAAGCTTTTTGTACTAGATAAAACACTACTTGTTCATTTACAAAAAAAATAAAAAATTGAACATTCTTTCGGTCTCACCTTAGGATGAAAGATATCCACGTCCCTTCGGCCTCATCTCAGGATAAAGGATATCTACATCTCTTTGATCTCACTTTTGTAAAAGGAATACTAACACCTATTTGGTCACATTAAAATAAATTAACATGCTAATTAAAGTAATTAACCAATAAAGAAAAGAATAATTATCTAAACAAATTAGAAGGTTAATCTGGGACTGACCTATCAAATCCATTAACTCAATATTATGTCTATAAAAGGAAAGTAAGCAAGAACTTTGCATAATCAGCCTACATTTTATCTGTATTACCAAGAGAGAATGCTAACTTGAGAAGCGATATTAAGACCTACATCTCCTCTCAGTTTACACCTCTTATTCAGGAGCAAGAAGAATCGTCAACCCTATAAAAGAAGCCAAAAACTATTCAACAGCAAATAAGGACTAACTCCTCAATTGGACAAGATAGAATCTCAGGTTTTAGTCTTTTATTTTCAATTAATTTTGGAAGCAAAGTTATCAGAAACCTAAAAAGATATAAAGCTAAAAAAATACGATAGAACTTCCAATACACGTCCATATACACAATTGTATCAAGATATTGTTATACTTGCTACTTCGATTTCGTGTCAATATTGTCTTGATTAATCAAACTCATACATCGATTAATAGATTATCTTTTAATCTATAATTGGATTTGGGGTCTGGAGAACTAATAAAAATATAGGGCCGTTTAGGGAATAAGCCTAACCTATATTGCGAACACACAAAATGTAACAATGTATCATGATTTCTTGTTGATGTCTTGGTGGGGCTGCTCTTCTATGGATGTGCAAATAATTAATATGATGGAATCAAGTCAAGCAATGGTAAATGGAGATTGATCTGATGTCGAAGAAACTGAAGCCATCAAGGCTGAGGACGTGAATAAAATCCCCATTTCACGGACATATATAAAAAAGAGTGAAAGATACAAATCTTATTGGAGTAATGTTATTTTAACATTTAGTTTGAGTGTCTATAAGAGACATTTTATACAAATTAAAAAATAATTATGCTATAGTTGTATAGAGTGTATAATATAAACACTTAAATTGGCTATTAAAATAATATTATTCTTTCAAGTATTTGTATTCCTTATTCTCTTTGTTTTCAAAAATGCAGAAAATGCTTATTATCAGCTGCAATTATTTTGTTGGATAATATACAAATTGTCTTTAGAAAGCATTGAATATACAACAAGAAAAAAGAGAATTGTGAGACACATTTAATTGTACGAAATGATGTTTGTAATTTTGGTACTCTGCATACATATTATCCAACTTTCATAACAAGCAGTACTTTTTAGCTTGGTATACCGGCTGTTGGCATACTTTAGCAATATTATTTAGGCCCAATAATACTAAGGAACGTATGAGATTTTAATTTTATTATCACAACACTCAATGATGTGATTGAAGTCTAATTTTATTAAAACTGATGTTTGTTTGAGACAGTCAGAACACTGAAGTATATTAGTTCGTCTTTGGACATGGAATTTAAATGCACAAGATACTCGGGTGTCTGATTGTTATAACTCATTAATTGCTGCTACAAGGAAAATTAATTAGTTTTAAACAAAGGGAGGGCCTTTCATTTTCATTGAAATTTCTTTCGTTTCTGCCTTTCTCTTATCTTTAATTAGTAATAAAGATAATACTAGAACAAACACCTGAAAATGCATTTATGCTTTTCCCCCTTTTCTTTTTGCTTTTAGCATCACATGAGCATGCTTTTTTTGTTTGGCTAATGGTGAAATTAGTCTAATAAGTCAATTAAACCGGTCAAATCTACCCTACTTCTTCCATACATCTCAAGCCACTCAAACAAGGACCACCCTAGCAACAGACTCTAGTGCTGAATCCAGCCCTCAAATTTGAAGCCTTTAATTCAGTATTTTATTCTAGTCATAGAAAACCTAGAAAGAAACCTTTAGTAGATACGGTCATGGTCCATATGTACATTTTCTCCTTATATATTTGCAACGGGGACAGCTCACTGTATTTACAATTTACCTTTACAATAGCGTGTGAAGGACTAATCTTCCAATGACAAGCATAAAATTCTTTTCCTTTAAGTAAAAGAAATAATAATTGATCTTATATAGTAAAGGATAATATATAATTTAAGTTCTCTTCCATGATAGATCAAATACTTTCTTTGAGCTTCTTGTTAACAACTAAGAAATGTCGCAAATTTCACCTGAGAAATTTTGGCGGTAGTCCTTTGTCTATACTGCATCTGATTAAATGCAGTACTCGAATCCATTTTTCGGTGGGGGTGATGGATTAGGACCAATTGACGCATTCTCTCCACAGTCCACAACGTAAAAATTTATAAGATATTTTTTCTTTTTATTTTTTGTTTTACTTCGAAAATTCGTTAGAAAGCTTGTTTATTGTTTTGATGGAATCCATGCTAAAAGTGAAAAGGGAAGCAGATGAAGTGCAAGATCAAAATATAAGAAATATAGTAAATGAAATCGATCGATCTTGTTATATAATTGAGGGGAAATGATAATTTTAACGACATATTTTGGCTATTTTATTAATATCAACAAACATGGAAATTAAATTTGAATATGTTGGAAATTTTGTTATGAATTTAGAAACTCTACATAAAGATATAGATTTTATGTACGATCAGACTGACACGTAAATTGCTTTTAAATAATGTTCGAAACTTCCTATTTATAGAAAAGAAAGAGTATAAGATTAAATTGGTACACGAGGGGAGAAAAACAATAAAAGTGAGAGAAGTCAAAATTAATAATCTATATGTTTACAAACATCAAATCCAGATAAAAACATTATGTTTTTTTTTCTTTAATTTCATTTTTAATCACTGAACAAGCTCTACACAATCGATCATTGAGTGTGTAAATTAATTGGCGGGGACTGTTCTATTTATTAGAAGTTTCAAATTTAGAACACTAAAATTGTAACTATAATTAAAAATATCAAAGAAAAAAAATTGCTATACATCATAAGACTTGTCCAAATTAGTGAAATATTCAACGTGGTGTTCTAATACGGGTGGTCTTAAGAAAAAAAAAAAAAAAAACACTACCCGATTGCCATCATCAGTCCAATGCCAATTTAATTCAGAAGCTGCCACAAATATAGATCAAAATGGGAGTACTTTGTAGATCTTTGTACGTCCATGTCATGACTAGCTCATTTCTTTGAAAAACAAACAATGCATAGATGATCTGGTTCATTTTAATTTGTTCAATATATATATAGATAGTCTAAGAAGATAAACCACAAAACGCCCTTTCCAACCGATGCTTTCTTCCCTTTCTAACAACAAAAAAAATGCATCCAACGTTCAATGTATATATGCATAGCTTACCGGCAACATTAGCACAACTGGAAAGTGATTAAAAAAAAAACATATTTTGGCAAAGTATAGTATAGTTGGCGGTTGAAAGCTTAAATCACAGAACCCTAAAGTGGTATGGAAAGGATGACAACACAATATATAGTTTGACTTTTTATTAGCTTCACAAGAAAAAGAAAAGGAAATTTCCGCTCCTGACATCAGATTGTCTGTGTTAACAAAATAAAGTAACTGAATGGTATAGAAATTGGGTGCTTAATTAATGAAGGTCTAATTAATCAGATAGCAATTTAGCTCTTAAGGTTAATGAAATTACCCGAAAATGGCTTAATTAATTTGCTTATCAATTTTCTTCTTAGTTCATTAACTGTTAATTAATGAAGGTCTAATTAATCAGACAGCAATTTAGCTCTTAAGGTGAATGAAATTACTCGAAAATGGCTTAATTAATTTGCTTATCAATTTTCTAACTGTGGAAACTCAAAACCCTAAAGAGATAAGATATATATGTTTTTTCATATATCCCTGGCTTGATCTTTCGTTGTCTCTTTTTCATGATGGGTGGTGTATATATACCCGAAACAATATCATATCAAAGGAAAACCA